CCATTATCGAGATCCGGCTGCTACAAGATTGTCTGCTCATGTGGTCGATGTTATGTTGGTGAGACATGCCAACCTATTTGACAAAGATTGGGAGAACACAATAATGCTTTTACAGGAAGCTGGGTCCAACGGTCAGAAGTGGCCTAACACATGGTAGAAACTTAACATGAGATACAATGGCCTTAAACTAGTATGCTTTGTAATTATGGTACGTCTGATGTTAAAATAAAGATAAGAGGCTATTGAAATTAATAGATTAGGATAGTGGTTCCCAAACTTTTCAGTCGCGGCGCCCTCTTTCAATTAAAATTTTTCCATGGCGCCCTACCCTGAGTATGACTATTCGTAAGACATAAAAATAAATAAAACTCGTATATCTTCATTATTTTTTTTTACTTTATTAACATTAACTTAATATTAAATAATTAATGTGATGGATGAGCCTGCAAATTACGACACATTTTCCTAAATTGAAGCCTTTATAATATTTCGCGGCGCCCTTGTAGAGGCCGCAGCGCACAGTCTGGGAATCATTGGATTAGGAAATACGTTGAATTAGATGAACAGTGGTAGAAAGTTGAGTCGTAACTACTTACGCTTAAGTGATATATTGAAGATGTTCTGAAGGAAAGATAATTAGCCAAATCATCCTAAATGTATCTAGATTTTTTTAATTTATTTTTGCATAATTGAGTCCATATAAGGGGTAAGATAGAGCCGGATAGTCTTCTTGCCCTACTGTTTACTTGAGACTTTCGCAATGAATTCCAGCTCTGATGATGTCCATCGAATAATGGACGAAAGCTCAACCCGTTTTCACCCGAAACGAGAGAGGATGTCTCGGGGACTGCACCAGCCTGAACGTCGTATAAAAGCCAAACGGCTGCAGTAAAACTGGATTTAGCCGTCCTCTTCTGGCGCGATTACCTACGAATCTCTTCTTCATGCACTGTCATACAAAATGAAAACCCCACAATAATGTTTTCTCAGGACTCTAATCGAGACCCAGTTTCTCTTCGTAACTACAAGCAAGATTGTGATGGGGATTCTTCGCACAGCAGAACGATAAAATTCCCACTTACTGTTCTGAAATAACTGTTTTGTCACTATTCAAATAATAACTAGACCTGAGCTTCAAGGTAGATAAAGACCATCTCCACTCAAGATTGAATATCTAATTTATTCATTGTTTTTTATCTTCACGCTATCATTTGCTGTTAGCATAGATTTGGGCCTCATTAATGAACCAGGATTGTTAAATTCAAGCATGGCGGCAAAGTCGAAGAGACGAGTTGTAGTATGGTGCTAAGGATGACAAGAATCATTAAATAAAATTAAATCTATACAACCAAGTCAAATAAGGAGCGAATCATGACGTCTTGACTACTATATTTTGGTAGGTTAATAAGTTAAAATGGAGAAAGCGAGTGTGGTCAATGCTAATACTTAGTGTACCTATAAACCCTCCTAAGATTACTTCACATCTAGATTCAAGTAGTTCAGAAGGTCATTTCCAGTCAAATTTGTTGAAATAAAATAATTCAAAGGAACATGCAAGCATTTTCAAATAACTAAATGAGAGGAACATCAAAGCTGTATAATTCGTCTAAATTAAAGCAATGCACATTGGATTCCCAGCTGCACTTCAAAGATGCTTAATTTATACTTGGATGTCTTGTAGTGCAGAAAAGAGCAAAATTCATTCGCTAAGATAGGCCCACACTCCAACTTTTGAAGAGGCCAAAATTAGCAAAAGAACATGCACTATCCAATGACATAAATTCGTGATAAGTTACTTGCATGCAAGTGAATTTATTGTTCAGTTTCATCTTGCAGGCATTCATCATATTCATCCTCACTCTCACAATTCATCGTTTCTTGGTAGCTTTCCAGGGTAGTTCCATCAAATTTTGGGTTGAAGATATTCTCGAAAGCTATAACATCATAAGCGCTTAAACTTAGGGTATCTTCACATTGTACAAAATCCCCGGATCTAGTTCTTTTACTGTTGTATCTTCCTTTTGTTTGATAACAAAGTTCTTCCTGCGATTCATCGAATTCTTCAAGGCCGAGCCAGAATGCAACTTCTTGGGGGGGGCAGGTAAGAAGTTTAGCCAAAACTTGATCACCTGAATCTGGAAAATAAAAGAGTATAGTAGAATGCAAATACTAAATTATATGAAGTGCAAGCAATCATTTCAATAAATAAACATAAAACAGCTATTAAAATAGACACCATCGAGCACGGTCAATAAAAGACCTTGAACATTCAAGGGGATTAAGATAAAAGTTTTGCTTGAGGGAAGAATTCTTGCAGAACTCAGGTCTTGGAAACGTAAGGTTTATCCATACGGTCTAATAAAAATGGTGCTATAGAATAGGATAAGGAATAGTATCTCAATCTTACCGACTCAATCCAAATGCTCTAGTGTGCGCTG